CATTTGTACTATCTTAATCATTGAATAAGATGCAGTGGTTTTTATGTTTTCTTTGTTAGCTTAAATTTATGATATCATATCTATTAGAAGGAAGTCTATTTTAATCCCTGTACTTTATATTATTGATATGTTTTGTTGAATGTGTCTATTTTGATCCTGTACTTTATAATTGATATGTTCTGTAAAATTCTTATTTCCATCATTTAGTATTTGGTTTTCGTGTGACAGATTGTTGATATAAAGCAGCCAGTCAATCTAACCCACAAGTTGCCCAAAAAGGTATCCACACACTTCAACAAAATTTGATGGATTTCTCTGCCTTCTTTCTCCATTGCATATCTGATTTTAATCAATCGTTAATGTTCACAAAAAGATTATTATTCTGCGTATTTGGTGTGTGAAAAATGGGTACAGTAATTATGCGTGGTGTTCTGACCCTACTCTTGATGATATATACAGGATAAGGAGAGGACACATAGTATTTATAATTCCGAATATTGTTTTACTTTGCATTTTGGTTCTTGATCATTGGAATTTTAGCAAGCCCTATAATAGCAATTACCTTTTGCTTGACGCTAGTGTAGAGAGATAGGTCGTTTCTGCATTTGTTTGGCATTTGTAAATTATAGGTGGTTGTTTGATTGAGAAGATCTATGGGAACATTGAGAAGTCGAAATTTCTGATGTTTTGGTTGACTAAAACACTGGGATTTTCACTCTCAAGAAGACCTACATCCCATCTAGTGGAGGCAGCTGCTTACTTAGTTTCCCGTAGGCCCTAGATAAGCCCATGTTCAACCAAGCAATCTGGGAATACAATTTTCTGTGCAGTGTTATGTCTAAAGAATATTGTTGTTGGTCTCCATGCATCACTCACCAAATTTCTTCTGAACTTTGATCTATCCATTTAGGATGCTGCTGCACAAGGCTTGAATTCGCAAGCTAAGCTAAGGATTACAATTCCAAGGGAGCCAGCCCTAGCTACCGCGCATAGGGCAGGAAGGACAAGGTTGAATTATAATTTTTTTTTTCATTATATTTGTATCATAAGTAGCTTCCAATCATGTGTCCTTTGGTTATCCTTTGGTTAAAAGGACTAATCATCCAACCTCAAGTCCAAAATATGTGTTAGTAGCTGTAGGATTTATAAATTTTTGGCATATGGTTTACTTATTCTTCATTCATTTACAGGTTAACTAGCACTAAAGAGGTGGAAAATCCAACAGCAACTACTTGCAGATTTAAAGCAAGAACGGTGAATCGAAAGGTAAATCTTCGTGAATTCAGAAGAAACTTTCAGTTATATTTCTTAAGATTTTTGTTCAAGTGCTTCTTTCTGTAATGTGCAGACCCTTGAAGCTCCTGTTCTCCCATTCTCAAAGAGAACCGTGCAGCATTTGCCAGATGTTAAGGTGAGGCATCAATGCCTTAGCCTTGTTTACGTTCCCTTTGTCCAAAAATACATGTCTGATGATGTTGATGTTGCTCTCAAACATCTTGGCTAAATTTTGTTGTATTGCTTCATAGGCCTCTCACCTTAAAACAACTGGACGGAAAAACCCGAGTACCTCCACTGATGCATCGACGTCAGTTTGTCGAAATGATAAGGTTAAGTGTTATGCTTAATGAATGTATTTGTCTCTACAACCATATCTTAGCCTCTTTTGAATTTTGCTTGTAAGTCCATTCAACATAGCATTTACACTGCTTTTCAATTGCTTATAATATGGTCCCATAAATGCATAACTATGGAATTACTTTAGGCCTTGCTAGTATCTTTAATTTTATTTAGAACTGTCTCCATCACTTTTAATAAGCATTCTCTCTTCGTACTTTCCTTTTTAAGAGCACCTTACAATTTACTCGACTCTGGAAATTAATCTTTGAACTTGATACCCATTCGTATTTCCCGCCCTCTGCATGTGTCTCAGACTCTCAGTATTAATTTAGTAGCATGGCCTTTTACCATGTGGGAAACTTAATATGTCTGTGTGTTGAAATGTGTCTGGAATTCTGTAAGTTTTTGATTGTTTGAAACATCAGACAATGACATGGGTGCTTGAAGTGCATAAAATGATAAAATTCTGATGTGTATTAAGGACCATAGACCAAACATTTATTTCAAACGGATTTATCAGATTTGGTATGAGAAAATGGTTGACTACTATGAGTAAAATGCTATGAATGGCTGACACTAGATTTGGGTAGAGACTACAATGGTCATAGCGTAGCTGAAATTCTGCCAAATGTGATTATGGGAGAGGGTGGTGGGTTTCTAAATGTAAGCTAGCTTACCTTTCCTTTAACCTGTCTACTAGTGAGAGTTACCCTGAATAATCATGAACTATTGTGTTTAAGACTTTAAGTGTGGTAGTGTTAGTGTTTCTTTAAGCCCCTCCTGTATTAATTGTATAAAATACAGTCTTGGGCCTCTGGTATCAATTGTATACGGAAATCTTGTTTCTTGAGAACTTTTTTATTTTTTATATTTATTATTTTATAATTGCTGTAGGGCCTACCTGAAATTTGAAATCATATTTTTCACAGCCTTAAATCATTTTGGGACTAAGGCTTTGTTGTTGTTTTTGTATTTTGACAACTTGCCAATTATCCCTTCCTGGGGGACATGCCTTGAGTAGAGCAAATTCAAGTTGAGCAAATGCAAGCCAGTATGGGAAAGGACCTTGTGCCTTTATGGCTGTCATTTGTGGCTTTAGTATTTTTTTATACCTGTGTGCTGTGTCCTAATGGTTTATTCTTGTCGACTAATACTCTCTGTGAATACAGGTTTTGAACAAAGTTCATGCTGATAGCGCTATAGAAGCTGGAAATAAGGATGGAAAAGGGTATGTAATAGCATCTGTATCTTATAGCTTGTTCACTTGTTTTGATTGTAACTCTTTTTTGCATGGGGTTTATTATTATGTACAATATGAATTATTCAATAAATGGTGGTAGTTGTTAGATTTTTTCAAAGTATATTATACATGTACATGATCATTGCTGTAATATTGTAGTATGTAGGAGCTTCATTTTGATTATTTATGAAATGATCATAAGCAATCGTGTATCATTTCTGAAATAATGATTACTTAAATATGCTTAATCTGCATATAATTAGCTTAATTTGTTATGGGTAAACTGATTATTCCATCCTATGTATTGAGGGTGCAATACAATTCTGTGCCAGATGGCGGCTTACATTGGGTTGATATTGCTTTGTGCAGGAGTGATTCTGTGGATGTTTCGAAAGTGGCTGTACACCAAGCTGTACATAGCTTTAAAGCACGGCCTCTTGATAGGAAGGTAATGAATACTTGTCATCAAAAGACATTGTGTTTATTTTATTTTATTTTATTTTTAAGTTACTGTGATCATGGAAGCAGCTAGCTTCATAATTTTTCAAAAGTTCTGTTTAAAATTTATCTTGCGCTAACTCCATCAATAATCCAACTCATCCCTTACTTAAAATAAAGTTGAATTGGTTTACATTGTTTGTATGCAGATATTGGCTAGTAGAGGAGACATAGGTGTTTTCAGAAATAATAAGCGGGATGTTACTGTACCAAAGGTAGTTTGTCATGCTCATGATCTTGATTGGTGCTTATATAGTTATATACTTATATGCATTTCTTTGAAGCATATTCCTTACAATTTTTTTTCTCTAGGAATTTATGTTTCAAACATCAAAGAGGACTCAGCCAAATCTTCCAACAGAGCTTTTTAGCAAGGTATCTTTGCTTTCTGGTCTTTTGGTGAATTATTATTTGCAGTTGCCATACTAATGCCTCCTTTAGAATGATATAATCGACCTATAATTCATTAGGCTCTCCTTGTACACTTTGCAGCTCTCGCTTGCTGGTGAACCCCATTCAAAAAACTGTGCACAGGCTGAATTACCCCAGAACACTACTATTCCAGCAAAGGTTCCTTCTTATACAATAACTTGAAGCATTTTCTTTCCCTTATCCTGGAACCTTGCTGACTTCTCACTTCTTGCTTCAAGGAATCAAAAGAAAATAGATGGGAATCTTGTCATCTGAATAAGCAAAATGTAAGAAAGTTTTATTATGTTGAAATTCACTTTTTGATTAATTGTTTTATTATCAGTTGTCTTTTGCTTGTCTAGCTTAGTTTTGAGTAAAAATTTCATACACCTTGAATTTTAGATCTCCATAAATTCGTGACTGGATTGTTCTGCATCTCATAAACTGCTCTATACAGACAATACATCTGCCAAAAGAAAAATTAGACACTCGTAATGGAAAGGAGCGATTGACTGTTGCTAATGGAAGGATTGGTGAAGTTAATCCTCGTAGTGGCATGAGCAGGTACATTTTTCATCCTGAACTTGGTAGCTCTTTGCTGTTAAATTGTACAAGTAGTTGATAATTGTATATCATGTTTACTGTAGGCCTTTAGGGAGCTGGAGACAATAATAGCACATATTTTCCATCTTAGACTAGTCCCATAATCCAAGATGTATAGATGCCTTTTGATGAAGTTTTATACCAGGGCTGAGGAATCGGTGTCACAATATATGCAGGAAATGGTTTAGCTTTTCAAGCTCTTACAGAATAAATTTAACTAAGCTTTGTATAGAAATTGTGCACCGCCTTTTTATTATTAAACTTCTCGTGCCCCCATTTTCGCCTGCAGTCTTAGATTAATCCAATACTATCTTCATCAGGAGGTGATACAGGAATGTAATTCAACAAAAGGAAAACAATTATTCTCATCAAGGAAATTTTATGCTCAAGAATTTTACGTCTACTTTAACATATTTAGATGCATCTGCAATGTGTTAAGGTTCTGCAAATTTGTAAAACGCTTATAGCCGCGGCATTAGGATGAATTTTTCACAGGGATATAACTTATAGCATTCATGACAATAATGGTAAAAGAATCAGCCACTATTTTGACCCAGTGTTGGGATTCATGCCATTGGTACATACATACAGAGTAACAATTAACGTCAAAAGATCAAATCTGGTGCTAAGCTTTCATCTCTTGATGCCCTTGCTTATGAGTTGTTCTTAGTCATAGACGAAACAAGGGAAAGGGGAGACTGTTTTGTCCATCGCCTTATACCATTTGCTTTTTTAGGCTTCTTGTTATGTTCCTTCCCTTGCTTCCTCTTTGCTATGGCAATGGCAAGATCATTTGGGAACAAAGTTTTCCAGACAAAGCCATGTAGAATGGTTGAGATGAATAGTATGGCCACCATTGTACTAGACATAAATGAGAGGGATAGAGCTAGGCCCTTGCTTCCTATCGAGGGTGCCTGCTCTGCATACTTGATAGTAGCGATTGATGCAGTGGTCATCGGGAAAGTATATGACCACCATGACATTGAAAACCTGAGCAAGGGAAGTAAGATTTACAAGATGATTTAGTCATTGGATACAAAGAAGATATATGCTTATGCTTGTAAATATTTTGTGTACATACTAGTGAAACTTTAAATAGGTTACCTGAAGCCAGTGAAGAAGGTGGGTCGAACGACAAGTGAAATATAGAGAAACAAGGCAATGAAGAAGCAAGTCCTTGATAAACCATCAAACTCACCATAAATAGCCTCCCATGCAATGCTAGCTGCAGCCGGGGTTGCGATGAACATACAGTATACAGGGTGTAGCTCCTTAGGCAATGTTTCACTCGTAGGCAATCTTTGATAAAGAGTAACAAACACTACAAGGTAATGCGCGAAACCTACTGCCCACAGAAACTTTGCAGGTTCTTTCCACCCCACCCTGGCTCCCAAAATGGCACCAACAAAGTTTCCAATAACTGACAGATGAGAAGACGGGTTAGCTACCATGCTTAAACGCCGTCTTCCTCCAGAAAGCCATTGACCATAGATCTTAAGTTCGAGGATGAATGTTGGTATGGCAAACACACAAAAAACAGCAGGATGAAGGGTGTTTGGTGCTATTCTTGGGGGTACTCCTATGGCCATAAACATAGCTACAATCCATGGAGCAAAGAAGAAGTTAACTCTAACAGGATGGAAGTATTCTCTTTTGATTGCTTCAAAGTAGAATATGCATTTGAGTAGATAAGTGGTACACACCAATACTAAAATGAGCAGGGCTAGGATCCAGAGTACTAGGTTAATAAAAGGGGTTACTTTGAGGAACTTCATCGCCGGGCTGATTGATAACGCCTTCCATAAGATGGATTGGCTGCTGAGGCCAAGGCATATACCGAAACAACCTATTGGGAATCGGAGCAGAAATGGCCATGTTTCATCCCTGGGTAAAAGAATGTCATCATAGTCCTGAAAAACCAGTACAATTCAGGAATCTACATAGAAAACTATCATCAGATTGAAACATCAAACATTCCATTTGGTAGGTAGTAATGGTAATGAGTACGCGTTACAAAATTTAAAATTTTAATTATCCGTGTCTATTGAAATGCCCTAGACATAAACCACAATGAACATATCATCTATGGGAAGTATAGTCGTATAGGACATACCAATTATATAAATCAACTTTAACACCGATATGGTAAGAACCGAAAGTTCTAGGAGGGCATCATAATGCTAGATTACATATTATAGGTAACAAAATCTATAAAATCAAGACATACACTACAAGTCTACAATAACTACATTATCATTAAAAGTGACAAAATAATGTGTGTAAAAAATACCTTCACTTGATCTAGCTCAGGACCTCTGAGAGCAGCAAAGTATCTTCCTGCAGGAACAGAATCATCTCCACCTTGAGAGTGTTGAGACCCATTATTATTTTTATTGTTATTATTATTTTTAATGTTATTATTATTGTTATTGTTGTTATTATTATTAAAATTGTTATAATTACTAATATTGTTATTATTATTAATCTTCTGATTATAATCCACCTCATTAGCACTTTCCTTTTTCATATGCATCAAAGAATTCTGCTTAGTAAGAGATGATTTTGTCTTAAACATGCTAAAATCACCCTTTTTAACTTCTCCAACAACAGCACCACTACTTTTTGCACCTAAACCTCCAAGACTTCTTCCACTCCTACTAAGTGCAACTCTCTCATTTTGTTGATTCCCTCTTAAAACAGAGAATCCTGTTTCAAGAGAGACTTGTCTACTTAGGCTACTTTTGTTTCCTGCCCTTCTTGCTGGCTCTTGAAGCCTTACCGGCCTCGCCCTCCCTCGTTTCTCCGGTTTCTGAGGCGCTGTTATTGTTTTCGACGTCGTTCCTTCATCTTCTTCTGACAATACTTCTTGTATATCTATCAAATGAGCATTGGAATCAGGTGGAGTTTTGTCCATCTTATCTCTCACAAAACCTTAATGTAACAAAATTTTATCTTATTTTGGTATGTCCTTATATTATATGTATATGTAGTCTTGCATATATAATATAATTGCTTATTTGATAATGTGATTGTATACAAAAGTTTGCTCTTTAAGTTGCTTTTTTTCAATATGAATCAAAATGTTGGTTTCTAATCGTGAAGAAAATCACGGGAAAAGGTGAAAAATAAAGTATTTTTGTAAACCAATTGGTGTAACATGAATTTTGAACCATAAGTTTTGGTTTTGGTAGATGAAATTGAAGGGTTTAAAGGATCACCTCGTGAAGCTTGGCGTGTTGAAGATCTATGGTGCCATCTTGAAAAGGGAAAAGATTTTGATTGCTCAATGAGGTTGATAGAACGCCATAGAAAAGATTTCACGGGTCGTAAATTATTCAAAAATTCAAGGTTGACGATTAGTGTTTCAAAAACTTACAATAGCTCCTTTTGTCGAATCAAAATCCTCTGTCCCATTTTGTTCGTCCTAAAAATAGGATTGTTGTTAACAAATTTAGTAAAGATATAAAGCATATAAATGAGTTGTTTGATTTTCCTATAAAACAAGAATTTGTGAGTTATGTTATTTTATTACCATAGGAACTAACCTATGCATGCAATTAACCTTTTTCTACAAACAAATAGATATAAAAAACAGTATAGTTTAGAAAATTCATCCTCTCAACACTGTAGCTAGAATTTACCAATTTTCTTAAAAAAAATGATGCAAGTATAAGGCTATGCCGATCGAGACCTTGTACAGTCACACAGGTCCACCCAGCCTGGATTAGCGGTAAGGCTTGGAATGCTAACGGAATCCTAATCCTCAAATAGTCTTTTTATGGGATTTGATCCTACAAACATGTCATGATTATGATGCAGATTAGGCCCAGCTTGGTTTGTGAATTTTTCATTCTTTATATATTTTTTAAGGGTTTAAAGTTAAACTTACCAATTGAATGATGAATTGATGATTAATATTCTTGTACTTGGTGTTTCCTTCTCCTATATTTCCAAATACTTCTTGTTTGATTAAAAGTTTTTACAAAATTTAAGGAGCATTTGTACTTCTAAGGGTACTAGAATATACTCATGCAGAAGAAAATTTTTTAATTTACAATGAAACACTATGGGGAGGCTCTTTTATTTGGTGCAAATATGAGAGGTTAATAAGTGGAGCAAATTGGGGTCTTAATGGACTTCTACTCCCTCTGTGTTTCAATAAGTGTTACAGTGACTTTTACCACCATTCACATAATTGTTTTATTCACTAATATATAGAAAAATATATTAAAATTGTATAATGTTTTCGTAGTATGAATTTTCTTATTATTTTATTAACATATGAATGATATGATTAGATAAATTAATGGTCAAAGTTATGTCTCGACATACATGTTTGATCAAATTGTAACACTTATTAAAACACGGAGGGAGAATATATTTTCACATTTCTTGTAAGGTTGTGTAAAGGGGAAAAAGTTTGCTTACTTAGTTTTGATTCTTTTCACATTATTCAAATAATATTCAATAAAAGTAATTTGAATTCAGCATGTCAGGTAAGAAATAATTTTAATTTGTAAAAATCAACAAATTTAATGAACAGATATAAAAGGAATGGATTCAGTAAAATAATTTAAATGTAGTAAAAGTAATTTAAGTTTAATAATGATAATTTAAATTTTGTAAAAATAATTCCAACTCAATAATAGTAATACTATGAGTTCATTATAGATAAGGTGAAGAGAAAATGACCTTAGGCAATGGTTGATTATAGAGGACTTAAATACATGATGGAACATACTTACAAAAATTTAATTTTTAGTGGATTGTTTACAATTTGTATTGTATAATTGGTTGTATGTATGAATGGAGTACTATGTAACATCACCATGATCATTTATTCGCTCCTTTGAAAGATCTACAAATAAATAAAATAAGCTAAAAATAAAACTATGTCTATTTTTTTAGTTGATACAATGTTTTTTTTTTTTAAAACATGATACAATGTTTCTTTTATCACCCTTACTAATACATAATTTTAACTGTTAATATCTCTAATTATCAACGGTACAAAGTTATAAAAAGTAAATATCAATAAAATTTATATTGAGATGATTCAAACAAGATATCACATGTTTTTAATAATTTATCATTTGAATCACAAAAGTGAGGGCCTGTCCACATTTACTTAATTTCAGTTCAGTTCAATTCAGTTTAGTTCAGTTCAGCTCCAATCAGTTCAGTTCAGTTCATCTCCTAATTTTCCTCTCTCATAAAATATTCATTTCATCTCAGTTCAGTTCAGTTCAGCTCCAATCAGTTCAGCTCAATTCAGTAAATGTGAACATACCCTTAGCCAAAATATATTTTATTAATAGTGAAAAAGTCAAAGTGTGTTAACCGAAAAAATGGAGGAACTATTAGTTATACCATGCACAATGTACAAAGTCTATACCAAGCAATAGTCCAAAGATATCTTAATTGGTGGATTGCCCGGTTGCCCCGGTATAGGATTTGGTGTGTTGTAATAAAAATAATATCATTTAAAATGTGACTGATCTATCATTTTAGGCTAAGATTTAGATTAATAATGTAGGTGAGGGAGTCAACTAGTTGTTTGCAACTACAAGTGATAAATGAGATCTTAAGCTTCGCCGCTTGACAAGGGTTTCGGATTTTAATTTAATGTGCAGTAGACTGTGGAGTATACACCACTCACTAACTACTCACCCAATTATTAAACTAAACTTTACATCTGTTTATCATGCAAAGATTCCTTCTCATACTTGATACCCATGTACTGTATTTCTTCACATTATTTCATATACTCAATTTACATTAGAAAATATTAGTCATGAATTATGACTAGTTTGAAAAGGAGTCATAAAATTTCATAAGGGAAGTATTTGACTTAGCTTCAAACTATTTAAGGTGGTTGTACATACGAGTATGTTAAAGAAATTACTTGTTCTCTTCCCCTAAAACAAGTAGATCTGGTCTGAATTTTTAAAGCTCTAATCTAGTCTGATCTAAATTTTTCTGATCTGGTCTGGTTTGATCTGATTAAACTTTGACCGTTTATATATACTAATCTATAAAGAAAAACATTATCAAAATGGATCTTGTTAGATTCGTCTCATCATGAACTTATTAATTATGTAATTTTTATAAAAAAATTTAATACACTATTAACGATAAGTAAATGATAATAAAAAATTCTAATCTGAATCTTTCTGATCAGGTCTGATCTGATCTGATCTGAATTTATTAAGGAATAAGTAATAAGGGTATGTTCTCATAGACTGAACTCAGCTGAGCTGAACTGAACCGAACTGGATATTTTATAAGAGAAGGTTATTAAGAGTTGAACTGAATTGAACTGAACTGAAAATAAGCGCATGAGAACAAGCCCTAAGTATCCGAAATAAGTTGACGAGAACAAGTCCAAAGTGCGGCTAAACAATTTACTACCTCCGTCTCATATTTTTTGCAATTTTGGAGTATCATTTGTGAGATATAAAATATTCAAAAGTTGCAAAAAATATAAAACGGAGTTTGTATGTTTAATTGTCATATATACGGATTATTATACAGAGTATCTAATAGAGCAAATGTATAATACGAGTACTAAAGTTTAAAGAAAAGAATAGTTAAAGTAAGATAAGCTGAGAAACGGTGGGTGGAGGGAATAACCTGTGATCTGTAAATCCGGAAGAAGCCTAAAACCAAACAAAAAAAAAAAAAAAAAAAACCCATGAATTTCAGCATAATCTTGACTATGAAAATAAGAAAAAATAAAAGTCAACCATAACACACTATCACACTATTACTCTACTACGGTCAGTACGGTGTGCTACACTGAATAGTGAATACTCTCAAGTCTCAAGTCTCACTCTATTTCATACAAGTACAAAGAATTCGGTACTCTATTTTTGGGTTTATAGAGACGCACACTTTGTTCATAATCCACTATTACCTCCGTTTCTTACAATTTGCAACAAAAAAATTATTTATATCTTATAAATAATACTTCGTACCTCTTTAATACAATTAATAAGTAATTGAGGGAATATATTATATACCGTTGTGTTAGTAACAGGTAAGTGACATGGGGTTTAAAAAAACAAATAATAATAACAGGTAAGTGCACCCAAAGGTATTATTATTTTTTTTTTTTTTTTCATTTGATCAATTAAGCGCAATCTAAAGAAAAATTGGTTAAATGAACAAATAAATATTTTTGGTATAACACCTGGTTCTAAATGTACCCAAGTGTCAGATAGTTCATGATCAATTGCTCTAAGCTACTTGAAAGTTTACGATTGTACCCAAGTGTCAGATAGTGTACACATGTAATTTTTCCTTTAAAATATAAACATATATTTCTTTTTTTTTTCTTTTCTTTTACCAAAAGAGCTATTACAGACAAGACAAACTGCAACAGAAAGAAACAAACTAGAACTAAAATAACAACAACTGCTATCGTCGAGCGCAACCAGCTAATAGCTAGTCAGAGAAACCCAAAACCGAGGAACCTTACGAATTTGACACACCAAAAAAAAAAAACTCAACAACTGACCGCAATTTGCAATTTGCAGTCCAATGACGAATCCGAGCTCAATTTGTTCCCTTAAGACCTAAAATTGCCTCTAAAATCTTACCTGAACATTTTTCGACTCGAAAACCGATGAAAAAATTGAATTAGGTCGCAATTTACAATTTATAACAATTTTTGGGCTGCAATTTGCAATTTTTCATAAATGACTGCAATTTAAAAAATACTAACTTTAAATGACTGCAATTTGCAAATATTTCAAAAAAATAATATATGATTTTTTTTTTAAAAAAAAAATTAGGTTAGATGAAGGGCCATACATGAAATATATCCGGCCGAAACTCCCCACGGATAATTTGGGAGAGTAAAGGTAGGAGAATCCCATTTTATAATCAAATTGTCACTAGTGAGAATTGAACCTTCATGGCAGGGTCGTAACATTGATTTTGGGGGCCCTGTTCTAAATCGAAAAAGGGGCCCTTAATAATGTAAAAATTATACTACGAAACGAAGTATTTTTTATCTATAATTTAGATAATGCACAATTTTCCTATATATACATTACAAAAATGAAAATACTTTTGTATAACAATGATATATTCAATTATGCAAAATTAATTAAAATATTTTATTCATGTTAATATATCAACTAAATATAACATCATAATTATAATAATAATGTCACATATACAATTATAGGTCCGTAGAAAACTAGAAACAACCAATTAAGATTCTAATCTTTAACATACAAGTTGCAAAATTAAAAATAAAAAATAAAAAATTCATCCAACTGTGAAATGATAAAGATACTGCATAATTGCATTCATACAATTTATACATGTCCGTAGAAAAATTAGAAGCCAGGAGTCTAGGACCGTATAAAAAAATCAATTAAAATTGCTTCAATTGATATTATCAAACCAGAACATTAAAAAATTGAAATAAAATAAACATCAAAATTTTACCTTTAACCAATAGACAAAGTAGGAATCAATAAAATCAGTCATTAAAAAAGCTATCAAAACAATACCCCCAAGTGAAGTTCCAATTGGTTTTTGTTTGATTGTGTATCAATTGAGAATTAGATGAATTAATCATGGAAAATCAAATATAATTAATTGTTCATTGCCAATGTGATAGAAGAAAAAACGTTTGAATTTGACTGAGTATATGTAATTTTCCATTAAAAATCCTTGAATAAAGAAATTATTTTCCATGGAATTGAATTGATTTAATTAAGATACTACAATACTAATTTAAATTGATGAAGGAATTTGAAAAGTTGTAGAAATTAATATGAAGCTTGAATAAAGGAAGGAAAATGTTTTTGATGAAAATAATAGCGTGATTTGCTACATTGAAACTTGACTGCGTTATAAACAAGAAGACTAACAAATACTCCGTATACAATCAATAGTTAAAAATTAAAAAAAAAAAGGATTAAAAAAATGGGCCCTCTTAAAATTAGAGGCCCTCTGCAAGAGGGCACCTTGCACACCCTCTTCTACGGCCCTGCTTCATGGCTAGCTAGTCTACAAAATTTTGGGTACAAAATATAATAATTTAGTTTATAATACATCAGTTACTTTTAAGGCTACTTTTTAGAAATTTTTAATTTTTCATTGTAATTTTAACCTGTTATAAATGTAAGCAAACAATAAGAGGTATTTTTAAAAGATAACTTATATAGTTATACTACCTTTGTTTTTATAATTGTAAGCATCAAATCTCTTGCTCAAATCCGTGTAAAAAATGATGGGCTTGCTGGAATTTTTTCGAACTATCTAGATTCTAGTTTTAAACTAAAATAAAATGTGTAATCAGCAGGCTTGTCTGAACATGCACTTTTTTCAATCGAGCTAGGTCAGGTTAGTGGGCAGGGTCGTAGTTGAACAGTATGATCACCTCTAATTAGGAGTAGTTTCTCACCATTTAATACTATTTTGTTTTCTAATTAAGAGTAATCAAAGGAAAATTAACTGTGATTAGTTAAATAGTGCAAAAAGTCACAGTGTTACAATTCGAAAAAAAAAAAAAAAATTAATTTACAACCATTTGTTTAATTGTTTGAACATACAAAGTTACATTTCCAAAGAAATGATGAAACTCATAAGAATCCAAAATATAGTGGAATAATCCATTTGGTTGACTTCAAATGTTTATACTTCCAACCATGGAAACCAACCCAAACATTACAAGAGTCCCCAAATTTGCTAAAATTCCAGGAAGATAAAAAAGATCTTCCCCTTCCCAAAACTAGCTTATACCAAGTCTTCTAAATACATAAAAGATTCACACTACATACATTTTCACACGAGCAAGTCGTGCAAAATTACTACTACTTCTAAACAGTGAGAGTTGAGAGACAAAGACAGATCACAAATTCAATACCTTAGATCAGATCAAGTGTATGTTAAATAAATACATAAACAAACATCATCACTTTATTTTCATTCTTCTTAAAATAAATAAATTAAATAATAATTAAAAAAGTCACCTTCATCTACAAGGCTACTTCACCGACAATCAATCCCCCACAAAATACCACCAAATTTTATCCCCAATCCAATCACTCCTCTCCACCTCACTTTATCCCACCCTCTCATTCCCTCGTCCCATCTCCCTACTATCCCATCGCCACCACAAATGGTGGTCGAACCTCAAACCAAATGGACACCCCGTCGCAACAGCAACCCAAAACTCGACTCCTCCCCCGACCAAACCCTCCTCGAAATGCCCCAAACACCTCCATCCGACGCTCGTAACAACAACAACATCCACCACCACATCGCCGCCGTCTCCGCCACCACATCCATCACAACCCTCACAATTGTCCTCGCTTGGTACTCCTCCAACATCGGCGTCCTCCTCTTAAACAAATACCTCTTAACCATTTACGGTTACCGTTACCCTATCTTCCTCACCACGATCCATATGATCGCTTGTACCTTCTACTCCTCCTTCGCAATCCACTCCCTCCGCCTCGTCCCCGCTCAGTACATCCAATCTCGCAGACAACTACTCAAAATCTTCTCATTATCAGTCATCTTCTGCTTCTCAGTAGTATGCGGTAATGCCTCGCTCAAATACATTCCCGTATCATTTAACCAGGCTATCGGCGCAACCACCCCTTTCTTCACCGCCATCTTCGCATTCGTAATCACTTGCAAGAAAGAAGCTCCCATTGTGTACTTCTCCCTCCTCCCAGTCGTACTGGGTATCGTCATTGCTTCCAATAGCGAACCCTTATTCCACCTCTTCGGATTCATCCTCTGCGTGGGGTCCACTGCAGGGCGAGCCCTCAAGTCTGTAGTACAAGGGCTACTCCTGACGTCGGATTCAGAGAAGCTAAATTCAATGAATTTGTTGATGTATATGGCGCCAATGGCGGCTGCTGTTCTGCTACCGTTTTCGCTTTACATAGAAGGGAATGTAGCTGGGATAACAATCAGAAAAGCGAAAGAAGATTGGTTCATTGTTTTTCTGTTAGTTGGGAATGCTACTGTGGCGTATCTGGTTAATCTGACCAACTTCCTCGTGACGAAACATACGAGTGCGCTGACGTTGCAGGTGTTGGGGAATGCGAAAGCGGCGGTTGCGGCGGTGGTGTCGGTGTTGATATTTAGGAATCCGGTCACGGCGATGGGTATGGTTGGATTTGGGGTTACTGTCATGGGTGTTGTGCTTTACACCCAAGCTAAAAGGAGATCTAAACTTACAGCTCATTGAATTTTTTTATTTTTTATTTTTATATTTTTGGGTAAATAATGAGTAAAGATACCAAAAACAATTAAAAAATGAAAAAAAAAAAAAAAAGGAAGGAGTATTTTTTTTTAAAGGGGGAAAAATTAACTCCAATTACCATCATAGTGTTATTACTATTATTACTCTCCATACTTCAAAGTTGATTAAATTTGTTTCACTTCAATTATTATATTATATTGTGATTTTTTTTTTTTTTGTTTTTTAAAATTTGATGGGGGATATTGTTGTTATTCCAAAGGGAGAAGCAACTTGTGATGAGCATTAATAGAAAAGAAAAGGAGATTCCACTTTTTTCTTCTTCTTGTAATTGTATTAAATTTGTATAAGGACCATTTCAATAACAAAAGTTATGCAAAAAGAAGAATGACATTAATGTCTTCTTCCTTTTTTTTCTTCAATTTTTGTTTGATATGTTGCTCTTAGCTTGCTGTTTTCATTTTTTAAAATTGCTTTATTATTGAGAATTTATTTTGGGTAGTTGAATGATTAGAGAACAAGCAAGAGCATAATCTAAAACTATAGTCTATGGAATTTGTATTGACCTATATCTGCGTCGATTATTAGAGAATAATTTAGGTGTTGGAAATTATTCTAATTAAGATTGTGTGTTAGATTGTACTACGTATAATTTTAATTCCAAAAACACCAAAATTTTCATATATTTAGGACATGTTCTCATACATTGAAATTCAGTTCAGTTCAGCTCCTAATTTCATTCTCTTGTAAAATATTCAGTTCAGTTCAATTCAGTTCCGCTGAATTCAGTCAATGAGAACAGACCTTTAATGTGCTACTAAAGGAGTAAACTCATTTTTTTTTTCACTTTTTCAGTAAATTAGGGGCTTAAATCAAAGTAATTATTCAAGAAAAAAGAGAATCATGTCTTTAGAGAAAGTTGCATTTAATTTCTTTTTAATCACTTGCAATCATCATCTATTTCTTCTTAATCACTTACAATATAATAATCATCTCTCTTAAATACAGTGTGATACGCCACAAACAAGAAAACTAATATAGTAAGAAAAACATAAATTATAAACTACTCCTAATATTTTCACCAAAAGAGAGTTTTAATTTGATATTTAAAAAACCAATTAACCATATAAAATTTTAATCACACTATTTAGAAACCGTCCAAAAGTCCATACTATATTTATCCATCCACTTCACTCGTATATGTTTATTCTCCTACAAGGTTTATTTATTTATCAAAAAATACAAAAAAAAAAAAAGAAAAGGTTAACTCATAATTAGCCTACCAAACAAAGGGGAAAGTAAAGTATGGAATAGTCGAGTGGATGAGATTGGTAGCATTTAATAGGGCCATTTGGGACCTACTATCAAGTGGCGGCCGTCTTAGTGTTAGTCTAGCAGGCTAGCAGCTTAGTTGTCAATTATTTGTCATTGTATTGACAGAGTAGAGTGATAGAAGATCAATTAAAAATTAGTTGGCAATTTCACAATTTAATTACCATCTTTTATTACTAGAAATAGTGTAATTTTAATATTGGTTTGTAGAGAATAAGAAACATCCAAACTTGTAGTTGTAGCAAAGTGTATACTGTATACAGCATAAGTAATAGTGGCATCTTTTTAAGGTAAAAAGCCAATGTTTGTGTTCAATTTGTCGGCAAGGCAAAGACTAGGTAATGGCCGGGTATATAAATTATTGTGCATGAATTAGAATTAACGTTAAAGTATGGGATAATTGATATTTAATGTAGTATGGTTTAGTACTACATGATTGCAAATTTGTCATGCCTCATTTTTTATACCTATATTCGGTTACCGAACGAGATATTCCTACATATTATACAATCTTTATGCTAGTACATAAATTTTTTATTTTATTTTATTTGTTAATTTGTACACGGGATTGTGGGAGTTTGAATCTGATCTGTATTTTGTTATTGACACATTATTAGATACATTACCAATTCGAGTGTTGAATGTGAAAAGTTAACATTTATTTGATTTGAAAATCTTATTACAATATAGAAATATTACTATGGTAAAACAATACACCCTAATACCCTATTGTTTCATTAATTTTAGATATACGAGTGTGTTTTTCTTTTTGAATTCTTCAATTGTATCATGAATTTTTTTCCATAGTGAAGTGAATTATGACTTTGGAAATTGGAATATTTAGCGTCGTAGATTTACCATTTATTTGACTACATCTACAAGCTTGAAAAAAAAAATTGAAAACTAGGTGACATAATTTTATGGTCACCAAATATTTTTCAAGTATTATCCACGTACCAAATATTAAGAATTTAAGATGGAATGTGTCTGTCTCCTATGTTATATCATTGATTTAGAATTTTATTGTTTAAGTAGCTGACTGATTGTCATAAAATATAAGAACAATAAAACCTCTAGCTTCTTAGGCTAATTAACATACAAAATTTCTATTCATTTTGTCATTTTTTTTTTTTTTTTAAGGGTGGAACCTCCAATATCGTAAATTAATACTTTGGTTAAATTAATTAAACTATATGGGCTGCCCCTCATCTAAGTGAGTAGTCAGGTGGTGAGCAGTCACAAGTGAGTTTGGGCATATTTCATGGCGTAGGGCGTAGGTCACCCATCGATCTCAAGGCTGTAGTTCCTTTCTTTCCGTGCAGCAGATAAATCTTTGGCCAATCACAATTAATTTGCAAGTCAAACATTACATAACACTTTGGGGATATGGCTAATTATTGGTAACTGAGATTTCACCAATTTAATTAATTACCTCACTTGTTTGTCACGTACGTAATTTGGGTATTAATTACTGGAGTATTTACATTAGCATGTGAAAATCTCATACTACACTAACTACAGTAATAATTTAATTCCTATTTCAATTCCCCTAGATAATCTCATAACTCATAAACAAACAAGGAATAATGCTCCTTTTGTGATTCCCATAACCTACCTCTTATTCCTCTAAAGTCTAAACAAAGTCTAGCTACCCAATTCCCTTGACAACAAATAAAGCTATTTTATGTGTGCACAAACTTTAATTTTATATGTAACTGACCATATTGTGTGGTCAATCATTATGGGGTTACTTTGTTAGTGTTATAGCAGTTACTCACTCGATTGTGTGTTACTAAATCAGTCAGGGGTTACTCGATCAGGAGTTACTTGATCGATTAAGGATTACTCGGTCAATGGTTACTCGTTCATAGGTTACTCGTCAATTAAGGGTTACTTGGTGCGTGTCAATGGCCAGTCGTACACAAAAATTGTTGTTATGTGTGACTAGCAACTATTTCCATGATTTATATCGAGCATGATTAGTGGAGATGCATGGTTGTCGTCATAAGTTTGAGCTATATCACTACATTTGCTTTGGAGCAGACAATTTTGATATCCTTTCTTTATACCCTCAACTCCTAAAGCACTTGTATAGTTGGACTGATTGACCTTAAGGAAAGAAACAAAAAGAAAATTCCATCTCAATTCTAGTTTAGGCAAGTAATATGTTAGTCCATGTGTGATTATTTAGCGATTAAAAACAAAAGAACAGCTAGTTCACAAAAGAGGGTACAATAGTGATATCACAAGTATAACTTTCCATCTTCAATCTAGTTTATGTCGTAGGTACTATCTACTACTTTTATTTAGAAAAAAAAAAAGAGTTGTAACTAAGTAGCAATGGAGAAAGTTTTTGATTAGAAATTTTAGGAGAAACTACAATTTAAATGATTCTTATATCAACCCTTAAAAGAATGAATGTAAACTTAACTTTAAAATTTATCTTATGATTCTTATCTATGGAGTAAAACTTATTTACTCTAGTTGAATTATATTTCTTTTCAAACAAATTTTGATTTAGAAATTCTTACAAAATCACATGTTGGTATTGACATTGTTTTCTTTGGAACTAACCCACACACGAATTTATTTTTGAGGACCTTTTCAAAACTTCTAAAATTTATGGCGTAATCTAAACTTAAATTTTCTAAAATATATCTTATCTATAGTGTAAAACTTATTAGCTCTATTTGAACTTATCTCTTTCTTAAATATCTTTTAATTTAGAAATTTATAACAAAATCACGTGTTGATGACTTGATGTGATATTGTCTATTTTTAGGACTAACACACACAAATTTGATTGTTTTAGAATCTTTTCAAAACACCTTCCCCTAATGGAATAGGTGGACATTTATAAGAAATGCAACCCTTCATTATTCGTCCCATATGAGATGTGACGCATGGATTGTGTAACCCCATACTTAATACTTGTATACATCACACATTTTGATTTCTTACAGAGTAAGTTAAATTTGGATTTTTCTATATAATAACTCAGTAAATTTCGCTTTATTATGTCGTATCCCAATATATATCACTTTTTACACTGTAACCCCAATTACAGTATGAAAGTGATATATATTAGGGCACAACGTAGAAAAGTGATATTAAATTTTTAATTACAGTATGAAAGTGATATATATTGGGGCACAACGTAGAAAAGTGATATTAAATTTTTAATATTTTTAATAGTAGTATTACTAGTTTATAAAAAAATGTGTTTAACAGTAGGTGCAAGCTTGTATCTTTCTTTCCGATCCTTTTCCTATCAATTCGTATATGTTGTGCATATGTTTAGCTCACTAGAAACTTGGAATGTTGTAGTTTCTTAAATAAAATCATCTCATTAATTATAACGTGACATACTAACACCTTATTAGTGCACTTTTAGAAATCTTGATCATAGATGCTAGATTATTTAACTTAATTTTGTATCGCTATCATTTAAAACTATACTCCACAAACACATTGAGATGTGCATGGGATGCACACAACATCTAGTGAAGGGTCGAGTAGGATTTTAAAGTAGCATTTACTTCAGCACATGTATTGTTTTGTTGACAATTTCTATTTGTTTTTTGTTTTGATGTTATTTATTTTAAACATAATTTAATGTTGGGAGAATTTAAGTGTAAACGAGAAAGTGGACTTTTCAATTATGCTGAAGAATTTTTCGTGATGAGAACCTATCATTTGTAATTTTAAGTGATACAGGTTACTTCATTGTTTCACGAATATTACAATATTTTCATCATTTTAAATATATAACATAGTTTTCTTTGACTTTAACAACTTTAATCATCTTTTTTTCGATTTTATAAAAATTAAAATTTTATATTACCTCTACTTATTTTTAATTACAAATTTGCAATAAAGGAATATTATTTGTAAGACCCATTTTCTCCAAATACAAGCCCACAACAAACTCACCCAAGTGACCGAATCCTCATTCTCCAAGCCCAAGCCCAAGCCCAAGCCCACAGATACCAACTACACCTAACTCCACTCCACTCCACCACTTTATTTGAAGAGCTCAATACAAACACATATAACCCAAATTCATCTCCCTCTCACAATACAACAATTA